TGGAGTTTGAATCTTAACTTAAAAAGTTAACTAGTAAAGTTTAAAGTACTAGAAATTAGAAATCCCTTAACAGTGTCTAATTGTTCTATATTATTGATACCAGGTTTAAACTTTAAAGGGGTAATCATTCAATAAAACAGACATATTCTGTTAAACCAAGAAAAATAACAAAAAGTAACTTAAGTTACTTTTTACGACCGGAGGTTTTAAAAGAGAAAAATAAAAGTATTTAGACTCAGAAGTCGTTTAGAAGGCTCATCTTCAGTCCAAAATATTCTATTTAAAAATTCGAAAATCACCACCCGAGTAAAAGTGAAATAGAAATAATACCTTTAAAGGTATTGGTTTCTAAAAATATGTCCCATCATGAATGACTAAAAAGTGAATAAGTGTTTTTATCATGTCTGTGCACAGTAATCTATTGATTTCACAATGTTCAAATGAGAGGACTGCTGATCAATTTTCATGCTTCTTCTGCTCCTTTAGGCTGATCCAATCTTGTCTCCGCTGAATATCTTTTTGTAATGTTTTTTCTTTTTTACAGAATTGATCTGAAATATTAACTGTTGCCTCTCTCAGAATCAACACGAGATCGATAATTAATATTTATGGTGTGATGAAGATTTAGGTTAAGAGCACGACTGCCTGAAATAGAATTTTGATCTTGATCAGTAAAAGATAGTAGAAATCTATAATATCCTATGAAAAAGCGCGTAATAAATTTATAATTACACATTATCCAGTGAATGGAGAATGACAATGATTTTGCAAATTTTACCTCACTTTACTTTTAGATTTTAAAAGTATCATGAATGGAAGGATTTGAGGAGTCGAGTATTTGAATATTCATGTTTTAGGGCGTTTAATGTTTATACTAAATACTTGGTCCTCTAAACCGTAGTTGCTTTGTTTTAAATTCTACGGGACTGTTATTTTGTAAAGCTATTGCATGATCATTGATCAATAAGGACCAAGTGTCAAATCCTAAGATTCTATAGATATCAACTTCAAGTAAGATCGGATCATGAGTTGTGCGACTTGTATTTGCATAGTCTAGTTTAAAAGCGCCTATAGTCTGCGTACTTATCTCATAAAACGGTTGTTGCTTTGTTCTAATCGCCGACCCAGGACCTGTTATCTAATAGTAATGTGGTGATCAAAAACTAGGACTGGCTCCCTCTGCTTAGCTCATGAAAATTCAAAGATACAGAGTCAAGATAAAGGTCCAATAGGCCGATACTGAATAACCAAATATACCTTATCCCAGACTCACATTCAGAAGACTGGAAGTTCTAGTAAATTAACCCGTTAATATTCCCTGCCCAGGACAGAGAAGGGAAGAGAAGGTCAGAATTTAGTCTCTTCCCTCTGCTCAGCTCATGAAAATTCAAAAACACACAGAGAGATAAAGATTCAGGGTGCCAATGCCTAATAACTTAATAAATACAACAAAAATTGCAGATTAACTATTGGCTATAATTCTAACATGCATTCAGATTTCAGAAGCTCGAATAAGTTTAGAATAAGAAAAAGATTTAAGGGATATTTTTGCTTTGTGTGGTCATCGTTCTGACAGCCAACCTGGATCACACAACTAATATCTTATGACACAGCAGTAGTACTAACAAAATATAGTAGTAGTATAATCCTACTATAGCATGATGATAGGAATAAAGTAAACACCTCTGAATAGATGTTGGCAGTTTTGTTCAATAGCTGATATTGTACCTCTGGTTTTTATAAGAATCAATTGACTTGGGAGCCACTAGGAAGATTAATAAATTATGACTATAAAAACTCAAATCTTACCTTAATCATTTAATCTGTGATCAATATTCTTGGAGAAGGCAGAACAGTCTTCATGGTCTCTTCGAAACTTCCTTCTCGTCGTTAGGTGCTGCTGCAATTATTGCTGCTACCTGATGAAATGTGTTTTACATTTCTAACGGCAGACACATGAGTTTGTGAAATAAAAACAGTTGAGATCGTTTGGAATCTTGTTAAACTGGTCAAGTATCAATATATAATAACACTTCTTTCATTTAAATTATCAAATGTTTAATTAAATGATCATGTCACAATCTAACCGACTGAAGGTTTACACCGACATTTAAAGAACACAGAACAAGACATAACGATGCTTAAGCTGGCATTTAAGCGTATCATTTTGACTCATATCACTTCTTACACCATCCTCCACCAATCACTCTGATTTCACCGGCAACCTTCCCCAGGGTTGCCACACCCCAGAGGTAGGCAGAGCATCTCAATACTATCCTCTCGTGGGCTATCTTGGCCCAGCCTCTCTTAAAAAAAATTTAAAAAATTAAAAAAAAAGACATAACGATCAAACCGGGTTTGGCTTTCCGCTTTTGTATGTCAGTGTTAGCCTAGCTTCTTTAGAAGTCTTCATTTCTTTAGCCGTATCTGTCTTCAAGGAGCTGGAAGATGTATGACGAGTGATGCAAATTAAACCAAGCAATATTTTGTTAACTTGTACGAGCTAGAGGGAGATTTGCGAGAATTGTGTGGGTAAGCCGTAAGAAAGAAAATTGAAAAGAGGTAAAGATATTAATTATTACTATTAGAAAATAGTAAGGGTGTAGTGAATATTTAAGGACTGTCAAATGAACTTACTTCCTTTAGAAGATCAAGAGTCGGACTTCTCAGAAATAAGGTCGATACCGCAGTGTTCCCAGTGCTCATAGAGAGAGGGTGAGAGAGAGAGAGGGAGAGGGGGGGGGGTTGGTGCCACTGCGAAGGTTTTATAGTATACCAGTATCTAATTGTGCAACTGACAATTCTGCAATAAAAATTATCAGCGATTGGTAATGTTATTAAATAAATCCTGGTCCCTCACCGATCCATTTGATAGACAATGTTTTAGGAAAATTTGATATTTTAAAGTAGAAATGGATTGTGGTGGATAAAAAGTATATTTTTCATTTTTGTTATTTTTAAAGGAGTAATTACAAAATCTATCAAATGGCCCAACACTTGGGACATTGGGTGTTTGTTTAACCTGGGATATAATGTGAATAAAATTATATAGGTATGTAAAGTTCATTGTTCATTATTGCCTGAAATTAGAATTGATCAAAAATACTTATCTTGAAAGAAGACAAATAACAAAAGTTGTTGTACGAAGTACGAACCACACAGCGTACTTGTTCAAGTTGTACGAACCATTCACACAGGTCACAGGACATAGGTTAGTGGTCACTAACAACGTCCGAAGTCGAAATGATTTTCAAGTCTGAGTTCGTATTGAATATGAAATATCCAACAAGATTCAAGCACAGTGCATCATGATAATGATTTGTATCGTTAAAAGAGTGATATAGTACCAGACAAAAATATTGATGTTTCCAACTAAACATATACATATATTGTCCATAAAAATGTTCATTGCAAAATGAATGGAAATTATGGTGGTTTTAGATCTTAAAATGCAATTGAACTCAGATATCATTGATTTAAAATAAAAAACGCTCACCATGTTTGATGCTAGATAGGTTGTTCGTCTTTAATTCCGACGAAGTTGCGGTAGTCCGTAGTTTGTTGATAGTCGCAGTCATTTTCTTCTCCTTAGCTCACATTTTCTTTCACTGAATGGGGGATTCATATATAGTCAGTGTAATAAGCGCCAAGCGCGAGCACAGAACTTTTTGTCTCCGATTTCGATAAATTTGATACAAAAAGTTGTCTAAAAATGTGAATAAAATAAATCCACCGTGTAGCAATTTTCGCTAAAAATGCTTCACGGCGCTTGTTTGCTGCGCGTGCTTTTTTCGCGCAAATTTTTAGTTTTTGGCCTATAACTTTCACATTTTCAGTTATTATCACATAATTATTATGGCATCGTAATCAGCTCATCGAGACAAAACTTTTAGTACTAATATTTTAAGATTTAAAGGAAAATTATTTTCAAAAATTTTAAATCTGAACACAAGGGTCCCCCCTTGTGTGAAATTTTGAACAAATTTTTGAAAAGTTTTGTGCTTCAAATATTATAATTTTGGTACTAAAAGTTGCGTCTGACTAAGCTCATTACGATCCTGTATGAATTATTTCAAAATATTCAATATGTTAGGAGTTATATGCATTTTAGGTAATAAATTACCCATTTTTCGTCCTTTGTACACTCTTGCTATGCAAAAAAGGCCCACATACAGCTCGACGTTATCGTGCTACACGGTGAATTTTCATTATTCACATTTAGAGGCAACTTTTGGTACCAAATTTATCAAAATCAGAAACAAAAAATTCTGTGCCAGCTCATAGCGCTTATTACATAGAGTTAGACTAATAAGCGACGAGATCGTGAAATCGCGGTACAGAGATATACTAGTTTTTTGCATTGAAACTAACTTAATATCCAAACAGATTAAAATATTTAAATCAGGTGAGTCGCTTCGAGGTTTCAAAATTTTCAACTCAATACAAATAACCTTACCAGCTTATTTTTGAAATCTGCACTTACCTGCTATCAGTTTGGTCAGTTCAATGAACGATAATTAATTGGTATTGAAAGATTTCGACTACTATAACCCACAATCAATCCATGTCATTCAAACATGATACTAAAATCTTATTTTCCCTCGATAAAATATCGAGCATGGATTGTACCTGCTTCATTACAAGATATCTGTCTTTAAGGAATTATGGTTTAACTCTGACGTTATAGTATCCTGAGGTGACTTAAATAACACTACATAACAACATACACGCACATCAATTGGACGGGTCGTCAACTAGAACCATCTGATAGCATTATCACTGCACAATGCACATTCCAACAATGAAACAGGAATGTGGAAATAGTGAGTGAGTGATAATGAGCCAGGTCACTGAAAGGTATCCAAACACTTGATCAGAAACTTCTTGTTACTTACAACTTTCATCACATTTGTGATAATCTTATATAAAAAAAAACATATTTTATTATTTAATATGCTATTTCCACATGCAATAATATTAATATCAGCTAGTAAATTGGCTTATTCACCTGGGTTAACACATTGAGGCCGTGAAGACTTGTGAGAGTAGACAATCCCTTTCTCACAAGTTATCACTTTACTGCCCGCCAGCAAGTACTCAGGATCACAAGCTACTGTGATCGCAGTTCCGTACGTGATAGGAAATGTAGCGTTAGTTGAAAGGTAGTTCTCAATCATCATACCCGTACAGCGATCTGCAGATTGACGTTACAGTTTTAGTATCTTCCACTTGTCAACTATCATAAATTTCTTCATTATTCTGATATTAATGATGGATCTAAATTTGTGATTTAATGGTTATCAAACCTATGGTGCAGGTAGGGCGTTGACTGATTGTGAAGGAAGTGTCCCTGATACACGTAATGCCGTTGTCCCCGGCGAGAGTGTGGCCAGGCTTGCAGTTCACTTCCACCACTGTTCCTACTATCACGGGGAAGGTGCTGGTTGTTATCATGTCTGATACAGCTGCTGGTAGTTCTGTACAAGTATCTGAGATGATGGGGTGACCGTTTGTGGACAGGATATGATAAATTGGACAAAGACTGCGAAGTAAAGAATTTCAGGTGAATACGGAAATATTTATTCAATTCAACCAATTTTTCGTTTTCCTGATGTTACCGGTTACCTATCTCAATGTTGACAATAGCAGGCTGCCGGTTGGATATAATACCAAGTGCTCTCAAATTGCCCTTTCTCACAAATTAACACTGCTAACGTGCCTCAATTCCTTAATCATAATCCCTTATTTAGAGCACTACAAAATCCTACCTAAAATACACTGTGGGGAATCCAAGTAACTCCAGTTTTCGTCCTTGATACAGGTGATGAGTCTGCTCCCTGACAGACTGTACCCCGGGATACAGTCCATTTCCACAATTGTACCGTGATCCACAGGAAGTGAGGTGCTGGTCTTCAAGTCAAATATATTCGGCAATTTTGTGCACTTTTCTGTAAACAAATTTTAGTATTTACATAGAGTCTGATTTCTGATTGTCTTTCTTGGTATAATAATTTTTGAATTTAGATCGATAGTGCAGGCATCACAATGTATTTCACCTTTTGAATAATAATTTCTTACCAGGGATGCAAGTAGGCAGTTGACTCGATGAGATATAGTCAGCGTCTTGTACACAGGTTATCGTTCTGTCTCCTGAAGTGAGGGTGAACCCCTCAAAGCAGTTCACGAATATCTCAGCTCCTTTCTTCACCGGGAATACATCATCCGTTTTCAAGTGTCGTCCTATCGGCAACTCCGTGCAAGTTCCTGTGGAATCTAATATTATCTCCGGTATTATACGAATTGTTTTGTTGCTTATATTATATAAATGCTAAACTTGTGCAAGTATATTGAATTTACGTGTTATCACTTCTGCGTGAACATTGTTTGTGAAGAGATTTTCATTTTCTAACCGGCTGAAACAGAAATTGTATAAAATTCAAAAAGATGTATATGTCAGCTCAAAATCGCACGTACCGAAATCATTGCACTTGGGTTTTTCCAGGAACTCGAAGTGCACACCCTGGTTACACGTTATCACTTTGTCGCCCCTCAATTCTCTGTCCTCCGTACAGCTCACTGACACAACTATTCCGTAACTTACAGGGAAGATCGTGCTCGACTTTAAATGTGAGATATCAGGAGGTACGCCGGAACAGAACTCTGATTATTATGAAAAGTTTTTATTAATTCAGAAGGTGAACAGTCAACAGTATCGTGCAATTGTGTGGTTAACCTGGCAAAGTAGAAATCTTTTCCATATTCAGCTCTAAATACATAAAACCGTTAATGGTAGAAGTAACAACGATAAACTCACTTTCTTCGCAAGAAGGAAGTTGACCATCAATAGTTTTATAGTTATCATCCTGGATACATGTGATGACGTCACCACCTACAAGAGAGTACCCAGCATCACAATGCACTGTTACCCGGGTATCGTAGGAAACAGGAAATTGGGTGGTTGTTCCTAGGTTCTGGATGTTCGGCAGTTTGCTGCAGTCGTCTGTATGTATATTTTAATTACTAAGCTATAAGTCAAGGTGCGACGATTAAAATGACTTAGGAAATAAAAAGGAGAAAAAACACATGATTTAACAGTTAACACCACACTCATATGCGAAAAATATGATGCTTTAAATTAACTTTTTAAAGAAAAGCAAAATGAAGCCTTGATGGAGAAAAGTTAACAGAAACACTTTATTAATGATAATATGCTATATTACTACATCAAATTACAAATTTGAGGAAAAAAATAGCGTATCTAATACTTTAATACAGCGGATCTTCAAACCTAGAACACAAAAAGGCTCTTCGTTGAAGGAGAAGTCATCTTCCTCAATACACGTGACAGTGCTGGCTCCAGTCAGAGTGTGTCCGGTGCTACACATCAAGGACACTTCACTCCCAGGTGCGAGGGGGAACTGTGACTGTGTCATTATCTGTTCCCAGCTTGAGGGCAAGCTCTCACATGAAACTGAGGATGGAGTACATGATTGATATTGTTGTTAATCATACTTTTTTTATTTGTTCAAATAAGGATTATTAAATGATTTTTGTGCAAGGTTACAGACACTTTGTTTACGTCGTAAGTCCTACATTTATTTGCCAAAACCATAATATAAGGCAGGTATAGCAAAAAATGAATTGCAAAGCTTCGAGTCAAATAAAAACTTAAAAGATTTACCGCATTTTGTCCGATTTTCATTTGCTTGAGATCCTTGAGGACAAGCAGTACAGAATCCCGCACTCTCTGCACTGTAGGTGTTACTAGAACACTGCAGACACGCTTCCATGGAACTGTCTTTGTAGGTACCCGCTAGACAGGACACTGAAAAGGTTATCAACCATTAGGAAGTTGGTTCCATGTCTATTTAAAAATAAAGGGAAATTGGTAGATCACCGACCGGCTATAAGCCGGTTATAAGCCGGCTATAAACCGGCTTATAGCCGGCTACAATTTTTATAGCCGGCTTATAGCCGGTTAGTAGCCGCTTACATTTGTTGTTGAGCGACGGCTATTAGCCGGTTATAAGCCGGCTATTAGCCGTTTAGGTATCGGCTATAAGAAATTCAGTGAAAACGGCTATTAGCCGGTTATAAGCCGGCTATTAGCCGTTTAGGTATCGAAAGTGGTTATAAGCGGGCTATAAGCCGGTTATAAGATATTAACTCAACTACATCGTACTGAACGATAGTCATGAGCCGGCTATAAGAAATTCAGCGAAAACGGCTATAAGCCGGTTATAAGCCGGCTATTAGCCGTTTAGGTATCGAAAGTGGTTATAAGCCGGCTATAAGCCGGCTATAAGATATTAACTTAACTTCATCGTACTGAACTGAGTTAATATCTTATAACCGGCTTATAGCCGGCTTATAGCCGGCTTATAACCACTTTCGATACCTAAACGGCTAATAGCCGGCTTATAACCGGCTAATAGCCGTTTTCACTGAATTTCTTATAGCCGGCTCCTGACTATCGTTCAGTACGATGTAGTTGAGTTAGTATCTTATAACCGGCTTATAGCCGGCTTATAACCACTTTTAATACCAAAACGGCTAATAGCAGGCTTATAACCGGCTAATAGCCGTCGCTCAACAACAAATGTAAGCGGCTACTAACCGGCTATAAGCCGGCTTATAGCCGGCTATAAAAATTGTAGCCGGCTTAAAGCCGGTTAGTAGCCGGCTTATAGCCGGTCGGTGATCTACCAACTGGCCAAAATAAACTATACTACTCTGATTACGAACAACTCTTCTTGTTCCTGGACAATATTACACTTGATGTCATTATGGTTGAACCGTCGCGTGCACTGTTTTGGTTTAATCGAAATAGATTATAAATCAAGAGGCTTGCATATAATGAACATATTGACACGGGTGCAGAGTTGAGTCTGTACGGAACCTAGTAGTTTCAGATCCTTGTTTAACTTGCCGTACAGCAAGGTCATCCACTACTTTAGCCCGGCGAGGCACATAACTCCCTCTACAACTCCATATCAAATGTTTCATTTATACTAGCCACGTTCACAAGATATATCCTTGTGTTTGAGAAGAGCTCGTTAGAACTGCTTCCTTTCCCTTCAGTATCCCACAGTCTCTCGAGTTTCGTAACTGCCAGAGCACTCTCTTAAACAATTACTAGACTCGGTGATTATAAATCAAGAGGCTTGCATATAATGAACATATTGACACGGGTGCAGAGTTGAGTCTGTACGGAACCTAGTAGTTTCAGATCCTTGTTTAACTTGCCGTACAGCCAGTGGCGTAACGAAGGGCCCTGCTGACCCCGCTGTGCAGGGGGGCGCCGTCTTAGGGGGGCGCCAAATCGTCGTTTGAATGTGGGACAATTTCGAAAACTTAACTAAAGTACTAGCAAAACTGCGCGTTTTGCTCTAGATACACACTTTTTTAGAGATTTTACCGGCGTATCCTCTAAAATCACCTAATTTGTTCAATTTTAGGGAGGGGCACCAAAAGGGGAGTGGGCGCCAACAGGGGGGCGCCTTTTCGGCAGGGGGGCGCCAACAGGCAACGTTACGCCACTGCGTACAGCAAGGTCATCCACTACTTAAGCCCGGCGAGGCACATAACTCCCTCTACAACTCCATATCAAATGTTTCATTTATACTAGCCACGTTCACAAGATATATCCTTGTGTTTGAGAAGAGCTCGTTAGAACTGCTTCCTTTCCCTTCAGTATATCCCACAGTCAAATGTTTCCTCACTTCAGCTGCAGTCTGGTAGTGTTGATTTTCATTATCATGTTCCTTGTACCTTCATAAATCTTGTTGTTGCCTCATTATATAGATATTTTGGTCTTGTGTAAATTTAATTGCAACATTTTGATGTGAAATTTATTTGAATTTTGAAATACAAAATTAACAATTGAAATCCCGATACTCACTACAATTAGTTTTCTCAGAGTTAGCCTCTTTTCCTATTTCGCAAGAACTGCAAGAATCAGATCCTGCAGCACTGAATTCCCCAGCTTCGCATTCAGAACAGGTTGCAGATCCGGCAGCACTGAATTTTCCAGCTTCGCATTCAGAACAGGTTGCAGATCCGGCAGCACTGAATTTTCCAGCTTCGCATTCAGAACAGGTTGCAGATCCAGCAGCACTGAATTCCCAAGCTTCGCATTCAGAACAGGTTGCAGATCCATCAGCACTGAATTCCCCAGCTTCGCATTCAGAACAGGTTGCAGATCCGGCAGCACTGAATTTTCCAGCTTCGCATTCAGAACAGGTTGCAGATCCGGCTGCACTGCATTTTCCAGCTTCGCATTCAGAACAGGTTGCAGATCCAGCAGCACTGAATTTCCCAGCTTCGCATTCAGAACAGGTTGCAGATCCGGCAGCACTGAATTTTCCAGCTTCGCATTCAGAACAGGTTGCAGATCCGGCAGCACTGAATTTTCCAGCTTCGCATTCATAACAGGTTGCAGATCCGGCAGCACTGAATTTTCCAGCTTCGCATTCAGAACAGGTTGCAGATCCAGCAGCACTGAATTCCCCAGCTTCGCATTCAGAACAGGTTGCAGATCCAGCAACACTGAATTCCCCAGCTTCGCATTCAGAACAGGTTGCAGATCCGGCAGCACTGAATTCCCCAGCTTCGCATTCAGAACAGGTTGCAGATCCAGCAGCACTGAATTCCCAAGCTTCGCATTCAGAACAGGTTGCAGATCCATCAGCACTGAATTCCCCAGCTTCGCATTCAGAACAGGTTGCAGATCCGGCAGCACTGAATTTTCCAGCTTCGCATTCAGAACAGGTTGCAGATCCGGCTGCACTGCATTTTCCAGCTTCGCATTCAGAACAGGTTGCAGATCCAGCAGCACTGAATTTCCCAGCTTCGCATTCAGAACAGGTTGCAGATCCGGCAGCACTGAATTTTCCAGCTTCGCATTCAGAACAGGTTGCAGATCCGGCAGCACTGAATTTTCCAGCTTCGCATTCATAACAGGTTGCAGATCCGGCAGCACTGAATTTTCCAGCTTCGCATTCAGAACAGGTTGCAGATCCAGCAGCACTGAATTCCCCAGCTTCGCATTCAGAACAGGTTGCAGATCCAGCAACACTGAATTCCCCAGCTTCGCATTCAGAACAGGTTGCAGATCCGGCAGCACTGAATTCCCCAGCTTCGCATTTAGAACAGGTTGCAGATCCAGCAGCACTGAATTCCCCAGCTTCGCATTCAGAACAGGTTGCAGATCCGGCAGCACTGAATTTTCCAGCTTGACATTCTGTAACAATGAACAAAATATGAAGTGAGAAGATTATATTATCAGAATGAAAATTTAATTCTATTAAGTATTACTATTCTATTTAGTACTATTATTGATTTACCTCGCTAGCATGCAGCTGAGTATCGGGCAGCTAGCCAGTAAATTATTTGATCCTACGAGCTCACTAGATCTATTTGGTTTAAACTTTTGAAGTTTCGAGAACTTATATATCTCTGATCGGCGGAATAGCCTGGGGTCCCCAGGTAATAATGATAACACAATATTAACCCACCTGAGACCCACTGACCAAATCTGAATCCCACTGATCTATCCCAATCAGGATTAAGCTTGATGAATTCTACTGTAGTAGTCACCCACACTGAGGACGAACATTGATCTGATTCAGCAAAATTCATTTCTGCAACCAATACTCCGTTACACTTGATTGAAATTCCTTTCAATCCCTGCTTAATGAATGTCCAAATCCTCACGTCATTTTGAGCGTCGGGTAGATTTTGCAGCGTAGTATCACCTTGGCAGTTGTCAATTTCGAAGTTAGGAGTATCAACTAATCGCACTACAACTCTTGCAAAAACATTGCCGTTTAAGTGCCCAACTTCAAACCAGATTCGATCACCACTTCCTATCGAGGAGGTTGTCTTCAATTCAAAAGGTATATCCTCCCAGGAGTGTGGAAACCAGACATTTTTTTGTTGAATTTCCCATTCCGGCTCTCCTGAAAACAAAAAATACGAATTATTAAAACATGGACGTGAAAGTTGAAGAGTAAAAAAAGGATATTCGCATTGTATTTTGTATTATGAAATGGCGGAAGCTATTGTAATAGTTATAAGTATATAGCGCTTCCTAAAAAATATCTAAGAAACCTGCAAAGAACCAACAGTCAATCGGTAATGCATAAATTACTAATGCCTAGGCTGTATTTCAGGCACGTTGCCGCGTTAAAGTTAAATGACTACCATAGTATACAAATATTGGTGGATCAGCTATCCCAACATCTTTTTACGAGTATTAATACAATTTTTTTTAAAAATTCTGTGAAATCTCTAATTTGCAGGTATAGTACTAAATTTTATACAGCTCACATTTATGCAATTCGTTTATAAACGAAACGGGACTTTTATATAGCAATTTTTTGTATTTATAGGTATCAAAAAATGCTTAAGTTTTCAAAACTACTGTTTCAATTAATTGATTCGACATTAAAGTATATGTATATTGTATAATAAATTAAAGTATAATATATATATAAAGTATATTAAAATATAATATATATATAATATGTATATAATAAATTCTTACCATCGTCTTCCGTATAAGCGCTAGAGCAACTCCGAAAAAGGAGGAGAACCAGATACAATATTTTCATGAGATCTTCAGAAGGTATGAAATTTATTGAAAAACATTGAGATTTATCTGATATCAAATTAAACAATAAACATTAAACAGGCATGTCAGGAAATGTACTACCTTATCGGACGTTATTTGACCGGACATTACGTGAACGGACATAATTTTGAACGGACATTAAAATGAACAATCGGAGGTATTTAATTTGACTACCTTGTCAGACGGACATTAAAATGAACGTTAGGGACTCCAGCGTCCAATTAATGTCCGTTCAAATAAAGTCCGATAAGGTATACCCACCGGCACTAAATTCGGCGAATACTTTATTAACATGTAATAACTTTAATTAATCATAATCTTATGATTGCTTCAAATACTATTGTCAAAATCGTGGAAATTGATGTAGGGAGCTCAATTTTCTTGAACAAAATCTAGCGTATCAAAAAAGACTTCTTGAACACATGTAAAGTCATGTAAGTTTAAATACACTTTATCGGGAGACAATTTATTCAAACCTAACGATATACCTATCCTTTTGAATAAATGTGTTTATGGAGACATTTTCACAATCAACAATGCATTGAAATTGTTAAATTTGTTCCATTATTCAAAAGTAGCATAAGTTACAAACAAACTGTAAACGGCAATCTTCAGGCAAGTTGTTTGTTCAAAAAATAACACAAGTCTTACATGTGAAAGTGAAACAAAAGGACATTATGAAATCTTTCAAAGTGTCATTAAAACACGATCACTTGGACAAAATGATTTCAATCATTCAATTTAAATACCCGTGAATATGATTGAAAGCAAAACTCAGAAAATGCTTCCATCTCAGTTTCTCTTTCAGTATATTTCATACCAACCAATGCCAATGGTATAAGACACAAGTCACGCTTAATATTATTTTATTTTCGAACGGGGACGAGAAGACAATAGCCAAGACGTAATAAAATTACGTATCTTTAAAATTCGTTGGTACAACTTTGTATTTTTTCCTAACTTAGACAGATAACGGGTCAGTTTTTAATGTTCTTAGTAAAATTTGACTCAGTAACAATTCCTACCAAAACACGTAGGGCTAACATAATGGCCCATTCCCCATTTTCAAACCAACTCAGGCATAGCTATAAAATTATTTGGGCTTAACTACTTTGTCTGAAACTGATCCTTCTGCAATTCTAGTTATATTATGTCCTATTAAAGTATTACTATTAATTGTAAAGGATCAAAAACTGTCACGCCAACGATCCCGATCTCTAGATGTTTACTCGAGTAGTAAGATAATAAGATGAGGTAACCGATAACCCATCCCCTTTAAACTTACAGTTCAGGTTGACAAAATGGAGCTAAGAAAATGTAATGTGCTGCCCCTAAATCGAGAATGCGGTCTTTAGTCTTTACAACATCCTAGCCTCACGTGTGCCGCGCGATTCACATCTCACGCGTGCTGCGTGATCAGCTGTGGTTGGGTCTATCGAGAGATAATTTTGTTCTGCAGAAGAGCAATGTACGAGTAACCTGGTGAGTAGAGAGGGAGTGCAGCAAATCACTGAATAAGTCAATAGCTTGCCAGACTGCAGAGAGGTCCCGGACCTTTAATGTGGGTTTAACCTTGCTATAGATGTAAAACTTTGAAGCTGTATTTGACTAAACGATTAGAAATAGAACCTATGAATCAGTAAAGGGAGCGCACGGTATTTTATAACCGTATTGTCATGTTTTATAATAAGAGCCATCCCATGATAAAGGGGATTTTAGTTTTCAAGCATAAACTATTATATACATTTATGATATATATTTATTTGTAACTGTAAGAACTTGAAGATTAAACACAAATTTCTAGTTAGCAGAATTGAGAATTGACAGAATGGAAACTTCAACTGCCGTTAACGTCTCATAAAGGCCATCCGTCCGGTTTTTTTTTCGATATACCTAGTTAAAGTTAGGCCAATAAGATCTAGTTAGGCCAACAAACCGACTACCGATTTGAGTCTCGGATCACTCGGAACACTGGAATAGTATTAAGGGGGGGGGCCAATGGATATTTTTTTGTGAAACTTGATTTCGAGATAGCAGTTGACCAACAAACTAGGACCAGTGACCGAACTTTTGAGGGGGTCCCGGACCCTAACCGCCAAACGGTGCCTGCGGGGCAGCCACGCCCATATTTGGTCCAAATTAGGCCCAATTTAGCCAAATACCCTGAACATGCCCAAAACCCAAATTTTAGGTGCTCTACTTGTAGCTAGTGGTCTCTTGAACTCGTATATGAAATTTCATCAAGATTGGACAAAAAATGACTGAGTTATGAGCCAAAAACCATATGCCCATATTTGGGCATACGCACCAAATTTGGTAGATTTCGTCCCATAAATTGGTCAAATATCAATATTTTTCACTGAAACTTACTTTATATGAAAGGTAAGCCTAAACTACATATTCTCTGTAAGTTATAGCTTTATATCTGTTTAAATGTGGATACTAAGGCGAAAAGACCACAAAAAATGAACTAAATTGCCCATATCTTGGTTCGCGATATTCGCGGAATTGATCTCATTAAAATTGTAACAACTCAATCAGTTTTCAAAATTTTTCCATGAAATTTTCGGAATCGACTCGAAATCGCATTTCCACCTTAGTTTGAGAACAGATTTTTGATTTAGGCCTCCAAAAAAATTTGGCGGCCAAATTCCAAAATTTTCCCGGAGAAATTCAGAATTTGGCCGCCAAATTTTTTTTGAGGCCTTAATCAAAAATCTGTCCTCAAACTAAGGTGGAAATGCGATTTCGAGTCGATTCCGAAAATTTCATGGAAAAATTTTGAAAACTGATTGAGTTGTTACAATTTTAATGAGATCAATTCCGCGAATATCGCGAACCAAGATATGGGCAATTTAGTTCATTTTTTGTGGTCTTTTCGCCTTAGTATCCACATTTAAACAGATATAAAGCTATAACTTACAGAGAATATGTAGTTTAGGCTTACCTTTCATATAAAGTAAGTTTCAGTGAAAAATATTGATATTTGACCAATTTATGGGACGAAATCTACCAAATTTGGTGCGTATGCCCAAATATGGGCATATGGTTTTTGGCTCATAACTCAGTCATTTTTTGTCCAATCTTGATGAAATTTCATATACGACTTCAAGAGGCCACTAGCTACAAGTAGAGCACCTAAAATTTGGGTTTTGGGCATGTTCAGAGTATTTGGCTAAATTGGGCCTAATTTGGACCAAATAAGGGCGTGGCTGCCCCGCGGGCACCGTTTGGCGGTTGGGGTCCGGGACCCCCTCAAAAGTTCGGTCACTGGTCTTAGTTTGTTGGTCAACTGCTATCTCGAAATCAAGTTTCACAAAAAAATATCCATTGGCCCCCCCCCTTAAGGGTTAATAGTCAGCTTAGACTCACGGATTACCTGTTTTATAAATGCCAAAAGTAGATTTTGTCTTTAAAAATGAATATATACTCACTAGATTGCATTGGCTTATTTTTATGAAGTAACATTTTTACAAGTAACATTGTCAAATTTAGAAACAAAATTTCAGCTTCAGTAACACATCATGAATTTGATCCACACTCCATGCTTTTGTATTATTGACTCAACACCAATAATACCGAAACAAGCTTGAATGCTTAAAACTATGTTTCATTTAAAGCTAACTTATCGAGGAGATCACTAGAAGTCTGTTCGAACAATGGCACTTGTTTATATCTTTGACTCACGACCTCACCCTCCCCAGCTCCTTGATCATCCTCTTGATCCATCATAAACCTCACCATGTACTTAACCAACTCCTCACTAACAATTGGTTCCACATTGTTCCCAATCACTCTGAGGATAATGCGGCCGGAGGAGCCGATACTCCGGTAGATAAGCCTGAGTTGTTTGGTATCCTCAACGTAGGTAGAGTTTAGGAACCTAGCGTAGCTGATGTTAGGGCGAATCTCGGAGCAGAGAATGGTGAGAATAGCCACACAGTTAATGAAGATGGATATCACAATAGCACCCCAGTAGAATAGAAACAACCACTGATAGAGGACGTTTCCAGATAAAATACACATGCCCTGCCACTCCTCCAGTCCACTAACACCCCATCTTTTCACCTCGCATGCCACCATCTTTGGGAACAACTTGTTTTGTATTGGGGTGAACCTGGAGGCGGTGTTGTTGGTCACATCTGAGAACCAAAGCGGACCATAGTTCATGAAGGACGCACCGTGGTTGTGGTTTGTGATCAGCATCTTGTTGGTGTAGTGCATCAACCCTAAACTGATACCAAGATACACGAATTTAAACCCGACTAACAGGATGAGGTACCAATGTCGGAGTATTTTACCGCGGAGACTGTCTCGCTGTTCAACGTAGACTGTTAGTGTGTTGTGAAGCCACTTTGCTGCCCGGTTCACGTAATATGGGAGATCGTCAGCGAACTGAGGTCTGTTTTGGAGCATCATAACCACGTCTTTCAGATCTCGTAATCCCAACAACTTGTAAATCCTCCAAGGAAAGAAATAGAGCATGGCCCCGATCCAGAAGTAAAAGAAAACAATCGGGTACCACCTGAGATATATCCGTTGAAAAGGTTTCATCTCGTGAGCTTTAGGACAAATAATTTTACCTCCCCCCACCAGTTCCCTCTCCATACACACGGACATCTCCTCGGGGATAATCCCTGGAAAGGGTGTAGCGGTGTTCTCCAGATCGTAAGCTTCTTTTATTGTGTACATTCCGTACGCCCAGCAGTACTCCTCCGCAAACCTTTGGAAGTTTGATGTCGCCTCAGTGGGTTGGTACCCGTTGGGAGGCGACTGAAAGTCCAAGCAGTTGATGACGTCGTACATCCAGTGATGCATAACCACTGCAGTTCCGAACAGAACGCTAATAAAAACCATGAAACCTCTGTTCCATCGGTCGAATCCGTCGTCTACCCCTATCAATTTGTAGACGTTTGTTTTGAAGTTCTTGCCGACGATAGCGAAGGAAGTGATAACCTCAAACAGTCCCATTCTGTATACGAGAGCTGTGACCTGGGAAATCGGGGTATTAAATTAAAGCAACGTAATTAGTTATGTAACTGTAAGGTTCCGCCAGTAAGATTTGGTATTTGATTTGGATGCTGGTGAAGAGGTGAACCATATCTTCAATAGTCACTTTTCAAATTAAATATGATTCACCACCAGTATCAAGAGCTATTACTATCAGGCTCAAAAATCAGGATTTTATCAGAGTCTCTGCTTAGGCTTTGAATTTCGGACGTTTATCCATGTATTGTATGTGTCAGTGTTTCAGTGTGTCAGTGTGTCAGTGTGTCAGTGTGTCAGTGTGTCAGTGTGTCAGTGTGTCAGTGTGTCAGTGTGTCAGTGTGTCAGTGTGTCAGTGTGTCAGTGTGTCAGTGTGTCAGTGTGTCAGTGTGTCAGTGTGTCAGTGTGTCAGTGTGTCAGTGTGTCAGTGTGTCAGTGTGTCAGTGTGTCAGTGTGTCAGTGTGTCAGTGTGTCAGTGTGTCAGTGAGTCAGTGAGTCAGTGAGTCAGTGTGTCAGTGTGTCAGTGTGTCAGTGTGTCAGTGTGTCAGTGTGTCAGTGTGTCAGTGTGTCAGTGTGTCAGTGTGTCAGTGTGTCAGTGTGTCAGTGTGTCAGTGTGTCAGTATGTCAGTGTGTCAGTATGTCAGTGTGTCAGTATGTCAGTATGTCAGTGTGTCAGTGTGTCAGTGTGTCAGTGTGTCAGTGTGTCAGTGTGTCAGTGTGTCAGTGTGTCAGTATGTCAGTGTGTCAGTGTGTCAGTGTGTCAGTGAGTCAGTGAGTCAGTGAGTCAGTGAGTCAGTGAGTCAGTGAGTCAGTGAGTCAGTGTGTCAGTGTGTCAGTGTGTCAGTGTGTCAGTATGTCAGTGTGTCAGTGTGTCAGTGTGTCAGAATGTCAGTGTGTCAGTGTGTCAGTGTGTCAGTGTGTGTGTCAGGGTAAGCTCTTACCGATAACTGGGGAGGGCCTTCATTGTATTCAGTATCATAGTAATCCATCAATGAATGATAACTTTGAAATTAACGAAACCCAGTAAAAAAGAAATGATGTTAGTGCATGAGCAGACATCGAACTGTTATCAAGATCATGAGTATCTGTCGAGAAATGAGACGATTTGTCTTTTAAAACTTATTAAGTTATTTAAACTTACCCCGGTTGTATAAAACGACACCCACGTGCACTACATCACTTGAGAGTGAAGGAAAGTTAACTTTCTTTCCTGAATGATACTAGTAGAAATATCTCTCATTATTGGTTAATATTGGATGAATGATAGTGATTTTGTTGTTACTATATCAGTTGCAGGGGGCGTCATTTGCACAAAAAACTTTCAACAATAAGCTAATAAGCCACGGGGGAGGGTGATTGAGTAATGAAAATATCGGAAGTAACCGCAAAATAACAAAGATCAGCTTTTGAGATCGAGCAGAGATCCTGCGGTTTAATATTTTAGGAGTGAGCCCAAATTTGTTAACATGAAAACCGCAAGGTGTTACAAAAACAAAGTCAATCCCACGCAATGTCTTACTAGCGACCTACCGAAACTCAAGCTAACAGACAATAACGTCGAGAACGAATCTTGCTTTCTCGTGGTGTGCTTGTTGAAGTGTGTGAGCTCTCTGTGAGCGAATATGCTTGTTTCACGCTGGTCACGTGGATATTGTTAAAAGAAGCTGGTCAGTAGCTTTATTTGATCTTTTTAACCGAAGTGATAAGTCTTTGTTCGTTGATAAATCAATATAGTAATAATTAACTGATTACAAATTGAAACGGTTAAATTTGTCGGACGGGAAAATACCACTGATCGAGAAAAAAACTTGCAGCTTACATTAAATATTGAATTCGCTCAAATCCTCGCCAAAAAGGCGTCTACATTTTTTTAAACAAAAAAGGTTAACATCATTAATACCTATAATTTACCTAAAATTCAGGGCCATTAAACGCCATCATCCCAAACATTGGGCAAAAATGCTGTTATCTCTTTTAGTTTTAGTCTAATATATAATCATTGTTTCATATTTACTTGCTGGACATATAAAATACTTTTGTTTTTCACCACAGCGTCTCCTGAATCAATGTTCCTAAGTTTCCAAAGTCCTATCACATTTGACAACACAGCTGCTCAGCTAGAAGCGAGAAATGAAGAAGATAATAATGAAGATAATAATCCCGATTATAGTCTCTAGTCTCTATAATCTTAGTAGGGGGACATCTGTTTCCTATCACTACACTTCTCCTCATCTGTTGCTGAAGATGCTGAGGACTGCTTCTTCTCTTGATCTGTTATTGTCTTCAGCTCAGTGTCCTCTTGTGTCTTGTTGTCAACTAGCAACTTTCCTTTCGTCTCTTCCCTGTGCAGTTTATTTGATGAAGATCAAGAATGGTAATTGTTGTATAAATTTTAGAAGTGCCCTGATACGAGTCATTCAAAAAGTTATGAGATGAAATGTAAGAGGGCCACACAAAATTTAACCAAGAGCTGGTGAATCAGAATTTCTGATTTGGAACAAACAACGTTAGTACTTACTTAAAATAGAAAGTGAGGATGGCCCCTGACAGAGCGAAGGGAGAAAGAAAGAGAAACATGGCTCTGAAACTGTAGTCCAGACCCACATCGTATACAATGAGGGAGGCAAACGCTCCTCCAAGGTTACAGAACACCATTATCATCCCAAACGCAGCACTGAAAAATAGTGAAATAGTGAAATAGTAAAATAGTGAAATAGTGAAATAGTGAAATAGTGAAATAGTGAACTGAGGGAGCAGTTTTTATTGTTAAATATTAGAGTGGGACTTTGGTGTCGAGATGTTGGTCGAGCACTGAGTAGAGATTGGCTGGTCCTAATGGGTAGTGGGTATCTGACAATTTAGGAGTTTATACTTCCTCACTAAGCTCTCTGCCCTCTACAATCAATGGCAATCTAAATGATTAAAATTTGCAAACAGCACTTCCTCAAAACATTCAAGAAACCTGCGGATATAAGTTGGGTAGAGCTCAGGAGAGTAGATGAAGATAAGGAGGAGCCAGGCGTTCACCACCATACGTTGTAAAAACAGCTCTGATTTGAAAAGTATGAGACCCAGACACGGGACACAAGCAGCAGTGGAGATCGCAGTAGCTACTCCTGAAGATACGGTGGTGTGACTTGGTGATCAAATCGGAATAACAGCACCTTGGAAGAGATCCGCCAAACTTTGGACAAGATAAGGATGGGCCGTGAATTAAACCGTTCCGATTAGATTTTGGTTTTTGGTGCCAAATTAAAATTATACCAATACATAGGAGGATTAATTTTCGGATTATACGTAACTTTACTCCCTCCAAAATTTCGATTTGCTCGATTTTAGTTATGCTGGTCCAGTTTTTTGTTGTTTCAAAAAGTGGAGACACTGGAAAGTTTTACAAATTGATTTGATTTGAAACTTTTACAAATAGTACATTATACAATACAGCAAATTATACCCGGCCTCACCTAGTATCATGCCGGTCTTGATTCTGCCCAGCTTCTCAACCAGCAGAGCGAATATAGGGATAGAGAGGAATTCAGCTGCTGACACCTAAGGTTTTATTTGGGTTATGATGAGTATTGAGTAAATATAAGATTTCAAAAACCTTACTTTGGCTATTGATTCGCTTCACCAACAAAAATTAGAGTTATTTATCAATTATATCAAAGGAGCTGAAATGGAAATTATGGTGGAACAATCAGATTAAACACACAAAATTTCGGTATCATTATCAATCCTAATACATATAAATACCTCAAGGGTTGCCATGAGTTCGGATTTACTGAAAGTGCAGTCGATGTCAACAAAGGTCACATTCAGGTTTGTGGAGTTCATAACTGCGCAGTACTCGTCCTGAAATAAACAAATTATACATTATACATTATGCATTATACATTATACATATACATTATACACAAACATCCATATGCTTACAAAGATGCCAAGTCTAAATATAACAACTACAGTAATTTTAATTCAATTTTCGACTTCCGTTCAGTGAATTTGATGGAATTTAAAAAGTTAATCCAATATTTGATTTATTCAGACGTCAAATTTTAAAATGACTGGATTAATCTAAAAACACGCTTATATATATTTAATTCAAAATTCGACCGCGATTTAAAGTTAACATCTACACATTTCTTTCGAAGGTCGAACCTTAAAGAGGTAAGGAAGACTGAAGATGTTCCCGTAATATACGAGATTGGCGGCGAAGACGGTGAAGAGCAGTAGTAAAGAATTTCTTTTAAACTGTCCAGTGAACATATCCCTAATGTTTCCTCTATCAGGCTCTGATCAAATAATTATATTATCAAATTCATTAAACACTTTATTTCCAATTCTGACGATGAGAATAGATTCAAGCAGCCAACATATTAAAAACTGCGTGTGAAAAACTGGTAAAATTCCGATATCATGCTATTCAGGTCAGTAGGATATTGAAGTTAGCACAATTACAAAACACTTTTATACTTTTACACTTTAACATTTTAAAATGGTAATTAAATCCCACCCGGAATTGCTGTTAGCTTCCCAGGTGGTAAGGTACTATAGTTTATCATTGCCATTTTATTTAGTATTCTCTCTGCTTCGTGTATCTGGTATGGTTACAGTGTTTAAGGCTTTTTTTTAAATAATTTAATTTGCGCAACGTACTGAATAAATGATCAATTTCAACAACTAACTTTTTGCTAAAACATGAAAACAAAAGAGGTCAAGTAATACTAACTAGACTCTAAAAATTCACTCACGTTATCAGATATAGAGAGGTATCTGGGTGACTCGTCCAGGAATAGGATAACAACACACATGATGAGAGCAGGTATACAGGCTGCTAACACCACCACACTCCACCCGTAACCAAGGGAGTAGTAACCCATCAGCACTATGAAACAGTCTCCTATCTAGGGGGGAGCTGGTGAGCTGATAAGTTACTAAGTAACCAGGTTACCAAGATCACTAAGTTTCTGATTTTGTAAGTTATCGCTAAATACTTAAATAACCAACGTAAACAACGTTACATTTGATAAGTCACCATGGCTACCAAGCCACCAAGCTACTAACCGACCACATGAAGACGTTGAGAGCGATACTGTAAGCTCTGAACTGAGGAGGAGAGATCTCGCTCACGTGAACTATCACCAGTGACGTTACGATCCCGAACCCAAACCCTACCACCATTCTGATTAGAACGAAGGAGTGGTAACTGGTCATGAACGCGCTCAGAACTCCGAATACTGGGATAGTTTGAGAGTTTAGAGGGCGTAGAAAAGTAGAGAGGTTTGAAGAATATTAGGTGGACAGAGTGGTTTTGTTTTTTGTCAATGTGACGACAGTCACTAAAAATTACGTGCTTTATAAATTACTTCCAAAAAATCTTATGGATATGATGAGAGACACATCCTTAAACATAAAAATCCGGCGAAGCACGAACATGTTTCCACTCAATTCTCAAACTGAAAACACACAATTCAATAACACACAATCTAATATCACACACCATTATTAAGTCACAGAATGCTTATTATTAATTATTATTATAAAGGGTCTCAATAAGAGGTCTCGACTGCCTAGGCGTCAGACCTTGGCAGTCGGTAGTTTTCCTCTGGCCCGGGATCAGCTGACCCTAGGGACCAGAGGATAAAGGTGTAGAAACTATATGTATCTACAAAACTTATTATTATTATTATTAATCAACTATATACAGCAAACACAAGATAATATAAATTAAATCATAAAATCGAGTGGCCGAGTAGTCTCGACTCACCCATAACTTCTCCAAAGGCGTCTATCATGAGCTTTGTACACTAAATCATTAAAATTACTTAAACTAAATCTTTTATTTACAATCACAATAATTTGTTTTGTCATAATGTCTTTTAATAATAAATCAAATAAATTTGAACGAGGTCTGCCCCTCCTTCCTTTGTAGTCAAAAGATCCTAAACATGCAAATCTGAAAGATAAGAAGGCGGGAGTGTCATCACCGCTTCTAAGAACGTGCCCAAGCATCTTCCATCTTGCTTTCTTGATCCTTTCAGTAAGGGGTCTGACATTACATCTCTTATATAAGTTCTCGTTGCTGATAACCGTAGGCCAATAGGTGTTGATTATCTGTCTCAGATGCTTCCTTTGAAGAACGTCGACAGATGCCATTACGGTTTCAGGAGCAGCCCAGCTGCTACAGTTATACAACAACACTGAAGTGACAAGAGCTTCGTACAGCTTCAGCTTTCTACTCTCACTGATCTGAACAGAGCTATTCAACCAGACTTTCTTGTAGGTGTAGAAGGCAACATTGGCTTTGTTGCGTCTGTTGACAATATCTCTTTCTGAACAGAGCTTTGATCCTAATAGCACTGACTCTCGCCACTCTTCATCTCCTCTAATTTTATTGCCATGGGCATCTAAAGCATCTGTATCTGCCAAATACACTCTTGTAAACACCGTCTTTGATTCGTTAACAAAGAGACTCCAATCCTTTAGTATATCACTGGCAATCTCTAGTATCTTCACCAGGCTCTGACCATCTTCACTCAGAAGCTCAGCATCGTCAGCATAGGCGGACTCTAACGGGAGGCCTCTATCAGAGACTGGGGGGTTCGGTCTAGGAATCGTGACACTGATCACGGCTCTGATGTGATTCAGGGCACCGGCAAGGGTCAATGTAAACACTTTACCTGCCAGACTGTCTCCCTGGTAAGCGCCAATATTAATCACAAATTCACCAGACTCAGATCTGTTGACCGTCACCTTGAGCTTTGTATTTGAGAGGAGGTACTGAACTAGGCGAATGTCGTCTCTAGAGCATCCTGCATCAATGAGGAGGTTGATGATGGTCTGTCTGCGGATAGTATTAAACGCAGCGGTCATGTCAATGTTGATTTTACTATACTCAAACTCGCGCCTGGTAACCACTGATGTCAACATTCTCTGAGACCATACCAGGTCAGCACAACTGCGACCCTGCTTGTATGCCGCCTGCCAAGGTCCAGTGTACATATCAACGTGGTAATTGATTCTGTTCAAGGCTACGAGGGATAGGACTTTTCTAGTTCCATTTAGCAATGTGAGGGGCCGGATAGACTTTATCGGACCTCGGGGTTTTCCTGGCTTCTGAAGGGGTGTCAGGATACCTTCTCCAATAGCTGGGATGTATGTGTTGGTCTCAAAGGAGAGATTATAGATCCTAGCCAACTCACAGTGGAGGGGATATCCAGCAGCTTTCATTAGCTCATTAGGTATACCGTCAGGGCCACACGCTCTACCGGATTTCAGCTTCATAACAGCACGGCCAACTTCTTCAGGTGTTATGGGACAGAGGAGGCTTCCAGGAGGGTCTATGAATGCTGGGAGGTGGGGTTCATCTTTGTCATTGAACTCATTATTAAAGTATTCTTTAATGGCTTCTGCTTTTAATGAGTCAGAACCTAAGGTATTCCCGTCTGCATCGTGGACAGTCACTCCGTCTTTCTTCATCCTACACTGGGCCAAAGTTCTATTCGCTTCAAACATGCTTCTGCAGCTGTCGGTGTTGTTGATGACATCTACTAGGGCATTAGCAGTGGCCTCGTTGATGGATTTCAACCTCTTTTTGATGGTACGTTTGAGATGGTTGATTCTTTTTCTGATGTCACTCCTGTCGCTTATCCCTGTGAGACTACATTCTTGCTGAAGGGACTTTCTCTCTGCTGAAAGTTTAACGACAGTTGGATCGTCGCTGTACTGATGAGGCTTCCCCGGGGGCACTTTACCAACCACCTGGACGGCACATTTACTCAATATACCAAATATATCAGAATTTTCAGAAATGGCATTATTAGTTAAAACAGAATGCTTACACCATCAAAATACACAATGCTCACACTCTGTATCACACTCTGTCGCTCACTTAAGATGAGCCACTGGCCAGTAATCATGACAGTTTTCCGGCCCCGTCTGTCCGCGATGACCCCGCCGATATAGCCCCCTGGGACGGCAGCCAGCAACACCAGAGCGGGGATAAGTGATGCCTAAAGTGGTTATGCTTTATTAGCATAGTTCATCCATGTACTCGCACAAAAATACAAAATATTTTGATACAAAACAGGGTGTAACTTGAACAAACTGCATGACCCAAAAGTCTTAAATTAGACTTACCTTCGCAACAGAGATTTTCCATTCGCATATCAGATCACTTAGAATGACGCTGGCTAGTGCTATCTCTGAAGCCTGTGCCATTGAACTCATGCCCAGTAGGATAAACCAAGTTATCTGATACCTGGGATAACATGTCGTCAGGGCAACCACGTGTCTCGTCAGGGCTACCACGTGTTCGTCAGGGCAACCACATGACTTGCATCATGTGATACAGTCATTACAGCCAGATGCCAGAAGTATAACTATAATAAGTTTAGTTGTGAGGAGTAATATCTGTTCTATCTCTAATCTTAGCAGTAAAACAGCGGAAGTTGAAAACCCACCTGCCCATTCCCATATGTGCCACAGCCTCGTCTATAGTGTAGGTCAACCCGTTATCTTCAGGTGCGCCACCCTGAGATTGAAACACTGTGATATAAATGCACCGTGGTGAAAGCTACCGAGTACCGGGAATTGATAAACGAATCTTGGCAGCAGTTGAAAAGTTTTGACCGACCAGAAAAAGTAACTAAACAGTTACCACATTCAGTGAACACAATCAAAGATCATAAACATGAAAGAAACACTACCTGCTTCTTACCACCCGGTGCACTAGGTGGTTGTTTGATTTTGAGTTTGTGACCTAACTTCCCAGCTTCTGATTTAATGGTCTGTTTGATGTCTTTTAGGGACTGGATCTTCCCAGATATATTCATGTCTGGTAGTTTTAGAGCTGGTTTCTGCTCTTCTTCGTCTTTTCCTGATTAATTAGATAACAACCAATTATAAAGTAATTCTAAATTAAAATCCTGGGCTGAAAATTCATGTTTAGGGTAATATTATTCATGCATCATGATACAATGATTTGTGATGACTTAACAATTCCGTATAAAAAGAAAAAATATTGTCCAAGTTTAGTTCGTAACAAAGTAACAAGATGCCTACCAATAGTCATCTGGTCAGGGCTATCCCCCAGATAGGAGTGCATAGGGTTAACAATAGTCACACTCTCCATATCACCCTCCTCGCTACTCAGGTCTGCGTGCGGAACTATCTTCTTCTTCTTCTTCTTCTTCTTTGCTTTTTCTTTATCTACAGAGGTTTGTTGTTAGCAAATCTCAAGTCAAGATAAGTAAGAATTCTTTATTTTAATTTTAAAATAAAGCCTTGAAGTAAGGGGACAAAGTTCCCAATAAAGCAATAAGTACTATATCAGTATTTGACCAAAACCCATAATCATGGGTAGAGTAAACCGCTGCCAGTGTCTCTCTTTTACAAACAAAAGGAAATGATATTATTTGAGGAAGTGTCTGCAAATGCAAATTGATACCGAGAATGAAATCGGTCGCTCGCTTTTCACATTCAATAAGCTTTATTACAATTCGTAAGCCGTGAATGAATAGGAAAAGCGAGCGATCGATTTCATTCTCGGTATCAATTTGCATTTGCGGACGGTACCTCAAATTAATATCATTTCCTTTTCTTTGGAAAAGAGAGACACTGGCAGCGGTTCACTCTACCCATGATTATGGGTTTTGGTCAAATATCATATCTTTTTGATTATAATGTCAGGATAATTTACACAGTCGCAACTTCATTAATAAGGAGGTAATTTCAACGATTTCGAAATTTTACCTTTGAAAATGTTTCCTTGTGTTTAGGTAGGCATATATGTCGATAACAGACTGAATATGGCACTTTTTACTTATTCACGACAATGAATGTTTTGAGCTTAAATATACCTGCTGAACTACTTTCGATGAGTCTTAATGCCTGAAAAACAATATAGGGGATATAATAGTATAGTGGGTAAATAGTAAGATAGTATTGTGAATATAATGGCAACGGTAATGCTTGCCAGCATTGTGATACCTAGTCCGAGCATGCCTCTGTTACAATACCTGCTGAGTGTTTACCAGTAGCTTTCAGTCCTGATGTATTATAGAGCTGCTCATCTTCTATGACCATTTCATCAACGTCAGGGTAGTCAGTCTCGGGGATCTCCTCTCTGTCTACCAGTCCCTCCTCGTCTTCCTGACTCACACCTGTAGTATTGAGTTAAGGGTTTATACTAGAATAAGACAGGAAATATAACAGAAACTAAAGATTAAATTCTCATAGGGAGCACTAACACTCCCGTTTTATAATTTTTGTGCAGAAACAAAATCCTATGGTATACTGTTAGTATTATAATTTTAGCGATCAACATACAGCATTATTAGAGATACAAAACCAAATCAATGATCATGGTTATTGCATCGGGTAAAACGAAGCTCTTGCAAGATCAACATACAGCATTATTAGAGATACAAAATCAAATCAATGATTATGGTTATTGCATCGGGTAAAACGAAGCTCTTGCAAGATCAACATACAGCATTATTAGAGATACAAAACCGAATCAATGATTATGGTTATTGCATCGGGTAAAACGAAGCTCTTGCAAGATCAACATACAGCATTATTAAAGATACAAAACCAAATCAATGATTATGGTTATTGCATCGGGTAAAACGAAGCTCTTGCAAGATCACTACGCCCGATAGTTAGACTGTTAAAACTAGCGTATAAAATAAAGTTCAGCTCAGCTAAAACTCGATATTCATACCAGTTAGCAAATCTGCGGGATCTGGAAATGATTAGGAGAATAACATAATAATGATCAATATTCGATGATTTATAGAATCAGAGGTAACGAATGAATTTAGATCAATCGTCCAGGCCATATTTCAAAAGACATTAAAAACATTAATAAATTGACGGACAAAATAGTTATTTAGTTAATCGTATAATGATTTAAAAGCTTACTTAAAAAAATAGTTGGCACTATAAACAATGTTTAGTAAATAATGTTTCAAATTGAAATACAATTACAAGTTATAGCTGATAGTTTGACTCGTGAAATGAATCAATCGAAACACATCTATAACGGCATAATTAATCAACTTTTGGAGAAAAAGAATATTCGATTAGTAATAGTCCTTAATAATAATTGGTAAAATTAGGAAATTCATTAACTAATAATTTAAATTACCTGTAACGATAGATAGCAGGGTTGTATTTGTTGGACGCTCTCGTCTCATGGCAAAGTTGAGTTTCTTGTCAAATGGTGCAGGCTCCATGGTAACCGTGTATATGACAACGCCCTAAGGTTGGAGCAACAATATCATGTACATCAAGTCTAGTAAAAGCATTCATCTATACCGTCTAACTGCCTCATAATCACCGAAGCCGACGCTTTCGATTCGAGTTATCAAATTATAAATTATATTAAAATCGCATCCTTTTCATAAATGGGATAAGTATAACTGAAAATTAAAATAAGAGCAGACATATATGATTGACTTATAATCCTGCAATAATAAAATACAAAAACATATGAAAAGGCAGACCGTAGAGAGGCAAGTTAGTGTACAATAATCATGTACTGACAAGTCATTAGGTCCGTGTTTGTATTTGATATTGGGTTGTCGTGGAAACCACGCTAACCTGACACACCTACCAACTTATTCCTACTTACTTGCTTGCACTTTCTCGCGTGGGAATCACCAGTTAATGAGGGAATCGATGCAATGTTCGAGAAAATATTTTCTACTTTCCCCGATTTATGTATATTAGTAATATAGCTGATGGTATTATCATTTCCGAGGGTTGCGCGATTAAATCGTGTATAACGTGCCGATGTTATAACTTAAAATCAACCAACCAAAAATATATAGTACATTTACGACAGAAACAAACATATTATGCGCTCCACATTAAAATGCGATTGGGTGATGTATATAAGTATAATATACTATGGTAACTCGGTAATCTGCCGATGCACACCTCGGGCACACCTCGGGCACACCTGGGGCACAAACTCGGGCACACCTCGGGCACACCTCGGGCACACCTGGGGCACAAACTCGGGCACACCTCGGGCACACCTCGGGCACACCTGGGGCACAAAGCACACCTCGGGCACACCTCGGGCAGAACCACCTGGGGCACACCTCGGGCACACCTCGGGCACACCTCGGGCACACCTCGGGCACATCTCGGGCATGGTAATTGGGAAACCTTGGGAAAAGAACCTGGGCACACCCGTGGCACATCTCGGGCACATCTCGGGCACACCTCGGGCAGAACCACCTGGGGCACACCTGGGGCACATCTCAGGCACACCTGGGGCACATCTCGGGCAAAACCACCTGGGGCACGGTCATTCGGGCAATATGGATTATTATTTATTACTGTGATGATAGATATCATTATTTATATTACTTATATTGGTGACAGTATTAAACTATATGTATGAGCAATATAATTTTCATGGACACAATTTTATTATTAAAAAAATGTATTTATTATTATTAACGAGCAATTGAAAAATACGATTGATCTGTTCATAATGTATCTAATAAATTTAATAGGTAAGCAATATTATATTATTAAAGTATCAATCGGAACATCTCATAACCATTAAAAACTATAAGTATTACTGTAACTACAAAATAAATCAGTATATCCTCTTGGGAGGGAGTGCTTCTCCTGAAGCGTGGAGTGTGCGAAGCACAGTTTGGTTCCGGTTGCAGATATCCCTGGCCACTGGTAGAAGGTTTTTTAGCGTGGGATTTATCAGCTGGAGGAGTCCATGTCGGAGAGAAGGTAGGTCAATCCTCGCTGCCTCTGCTATGCAGCGCTTCCTGCCGAAAAAGGACTCAGATATCCCCTCTGCAGCGAGTGCCTCCTTCTTCGTAGCACCATTCCGGACACGTGCCAGGATCCTGTCGTATTTTGAAACTTCTCCGTCGATGGTGAAGGTGCGGCTCGAACCAGGATAAGGGGCCGGAACAGGACCGGTGGGAGCTGTAGCGGCAGCCGGACCAGGAGCGGCAGCCGGAACAGTAGCCGGAGCCGGAGCGGGAGCGGGAGCGGGAGCGGGAGCGGGAGCGGGAGCGGGAGCGGGAGCGGGAGCGGGAGCGGGAACTGGAACATGTGCTGAGGTTACCGGAACGACAGCTCGAGGGGGAGGAGGAGGAAGAACCACAGGTGCTGTAGGAGCAGCAGGGGTGTGAGGGGGAGGGGGAGACGGTCTGACGACAGGAGAGGAGTGTGTATCGCAGGGGTCTATCGTAACCACTATCTGCGTACCGTCTGGCTCGTTACTCTGTCCACTTCGGACTGTTCGGATGCAGTGGGGGCAGGTGAGGGCTGGGATAACAGGAGAGTAGGAGGATCGTGGACACACTGTGTTGATGTGACCTCGTGCGCCACAATGACTGCAAGTTGGGGGAGGAATAGGTCGGGATAGTCGAAGTCCGGATCGTGTAGGCATGATGAATAGTAGTAGATATGTTGTGGTAGTAGAACGAAAACTGGTATGAGGAACCTATGCGATAACAACCTTTATACCCGAGGGTTTCGGGATCAGAGCTTGTTAATTCACGGTTCGGATCGCATTGATCGCATGGATCGCATGGCCCAACAAGATGGTAGCCATAACACGGTAACATGGATCACGTGGTGAGTATTCACAGCCCCTCTCACGTGACGCTATGGCAAGAAATCAAAATGCCTTCGCCTCATCGTAATCGGAATGTTTGATCTAGTCATGTGACGTGATAAGAAGAACAACAAAGTCTTGCGATCGTGACAAATATAAGGTACTCTTCTGTGACGTCCCAGCAAGCGGTCAAAATTCCAGTCGAGATATATAAACATGAGCAAACAGCTAATACTATCATTCAATATGGCTCTCACTTTCCTCTCCTACGAAGATCTCAGAAGAACTGGAGTCCTCTCTTCAGAAGCCACAGCTCTACAGTACTGCCTCGATGTGGAACTCCTACGTCCTAACCATTTCTGTCCAGAGTGCCACACCTACATGGAGCTACGATCCTGCGCCTCCACAAAGTACAGCGATGGCTACTGTTGGTCCTGTCCTGGCGGTCAGCACCACCTCTCTGTCAGAGCAGGAAGTGTCCTCTACAACCGCAACATTACCTTTATCAACTTCCTCCACCTACTTTGGATCTTCGTCAACGGTACCAGCGTTGCTGATGCAGCCAGAATCCTGTCGATGAACGAGAAAACAGTGCGATCCCTTTACAAAGCTATTCGACAGTGTATGGTGGAGGACCTTCTGGAGAACGGAGCAACGAGGAAGATTGGAGGACGCGGGCACATCGTGGAGATCGACGAGTCGAAGTTCGGCAAACGGAAGTACCACCGTGGACGACGAGTGATCGGGAAGTGGATCGTTGGAGGCTACTGCAGAACTACCGGCGAATGCTTCTTGGTGGAGTGCACAGACAACAAACGGAACCACCACACTCTTCTTCGTCTAATCAAGCAACACGTCGCTCCTGGGACCATCATCCTTACCGACAAGTGGAAGGGGTACAACGCCCTCCGACACCACGGCTACACCCACTTGGTCGTAAACCACAGCAGAGGCTTCGTCGACCCCGTCACCGGTGTTCATACGAATACATGTGAGGGCATGTGGTTTCACGCCAAGAGGCACATGCTACGAGGACACGGCAGGACGCGAAGAGACACCTCAGCCCTCTACATCGCCCTCGCTGAATTCATCTGGCTGAGAAGGAACCACCTGACCCGCTCCGGCCCTTCCGTCAGAAGATATTTTAACCAGGAGCTCCCGCAGTTGATGCGTAGAATTTTTGATTAGAATGTGTTTAATAGTTTTGTAAATATACCGATTGATTATGTAATATATTGCTTACAGTTTAATGAAATTATTATGTTCAGTTCAATCGTGTTTTTCACTTGTTCGTAAATAAATAGATATTAGATATGTGTCTCTGAAAATTATATTGCTCATATATATTATATTGCGATAGTATAATACTAGTATAATACTATCGCAAATATAATTAGGTAATAAATGATATCATTGAGGTTAGTAGCCCAGCCATAATTCATTGCCCGAATGACCGTGCCCCAGGTGGTTTTGCCCGAGGTGTGCCCGAGATGTGCCCCAGGTGTGCCTGAGATGTGCCCCAGGTGGTTTTGCCCGAGGTGTGCCCGAGATGTGCCCGAGATGTGCCCGAGATGTGCCCCGGGTGTGCCCAGGTTCTTTTCCCAAGGTTCCCCAATTACCATGCCCGAATTTTGCCCGAGATGTGCCCGAGATGTGCCCGAGGTGTGCCCGAGGTGTGCCCCAGGTGGTTCTGCCCGAGGTGTGCCCGAGGTGCGCTTTGTGCCCCAGGTGTGCCCGAGGTGTGCCCCAGGTGTGCCCGAGTTTGTGCCCCAGGTGTGCCCGAGGTGTGCCCCAGATGTGCATCGGCAGATTACCGAGTTACCTATACTATATTATAGTGGGTATATGTATCAGTTTAACTAAAGCAACAGAACCGACCCCGGCAACGTGTCTACACGGTAACTAGGAACGGTTGTCATGGTAACTATAACAGTCGTCATGGTAACTACGATCACAGCGCCTGCTTTAATTAACGGGCTGATCAGACCAGCGTCACGTGGTCTATCCAGCACATCACGTGACTATTAATAGCACGTGACTTTTACAGCTGTGTTTCAGAGAAAGACAGTTTCAGGGTTTGGAGTACTGCTTGTGGATTTAGTGTGGAGCTCCTGATAAGAAATCAGAAATCAGAATCATTTATTTTCGTATAAAATTATTTGCCCTAAGATGCTTATGATCTCGGATTGTTGTAAAATTCTCAGCGTAGCTGGGTTGTAATTGGATTAGGAAAAGAGTCTGACCTAATCAACCGATTCACGGAAATAATGCAAATGACCAATTAAAAAATGATATATTTGGGTTTATCCCGTGGTAAGACTGAAAAAATAAGAAGTTAAACAAATATCATGCTGCATATTTACAGCAAGGCAAAAAAATTATGATCTTTTCCTGCACCAGATCTGGTTATAATGTGAATATATTTGATGCCCACATAATTAATTACATAATGACACAAGCCGATCATATCGGATGTTGGAATTTAGTTATCAGTGCCGAAATTTGTCTCGTCATGTAAACTTTAGCAGACATTCTTTCATCAATACATCCGCAGATTAAAATCAGACTATTAAAATCAGACTATTTATCTACAATCGACTATAGCATGTATAGCATGTATAGTTTGAAACATTCATGCCAGTCAATATCTTTTTAATCTCTAGGTTTTGTATAGCAAACTGCAAACAAGATTAATATATTATAGTTACGATACGGAATACCAGTCATGAAATTGACCGTGAATCCTTATCTCTCTAGGAATAATGAAAGGAACTATTATATTATAATAAAGTAATAACAATATTATTAACGATTATAGAATAATAAAAGGAACGATTCACCATTTCACATTAGTCAAAGTTCAAATTAAATCGATAAGAAATTCCAAACTTTTATCAGTACTTTTGTCAGTACTTTTAACTGTAGAGGGGTCTCATCGAAACATGATAATTGATAATTATTATACTTGGAAAACTACTGCGCGCAACACGTGGGCCCTTGGGGGATCTCACAGCGGAAGAGGCGTACTGTGGAAGAGGCGACCGCGTGGTTTGTAACGCACTTATGCCACAGGACTTCTTTCTTAATTACTTTCCACATTATCTAGTTTGACCTCCGGTTCCGTCTACAAATGATTGCAATATGTGTCCTCTTGCTCCTATCGATACTGATCTGTGTTGTTATCTCCGGTACTGGAAGTGGTCCTGGTAAGTCTACATATAGTTTGGTTTAGATGTGAGTTGTAAAAATGATGTAACTCCTTGTTCACTGGCCTTCAGTATTGGTCAGTCTGTACTATTGGCTATTGCTGTGAACATTTCAGTGCTTTTGGAAGAGGCCAGTCATTTAAAGTGTGTAATCTGTGTAAACGCTTTATGTTTTTCTTCTAACTTTATAAGACTGCTGTCTTTATCAGAATCGGGGCTGTAATTTTGTCAGAGCACTTCGCACCATATTTCTATCGTTCTTCTTCCCCGGCTCGGCGTGCTTAAATGGAACGATGAGAAGCGAAGCCTCATTGTTTGGATCTAACTGATGTCCCAGATTTTATAGACCGCTAGGCGATAATTTAAATATAACTGGCACATCTTCTGGACTGTTAGATCCTTATAACGGAGGGGACCCAAAGGTTCTTAGATAAAAATTATGTTGAATGCACAACAAAAACATTTAACAATGTCCGATCCTCATATCCAATTTAATTTTTCTAAAATACTAAGAGCAGTAGGGAATGCTGGTAAGGGATCCCAGGGATGCTTCAAACTTATTATTAGTTTAACTTGTCGCACTGTATGTTCCCAGAACCACGCTTCATCTCTTCTTCTTGTCGTATTTAGTCACCCTATTCATTATGCATTAATCATAGATTTTACTTCTTTTTTCAAGAGCATTTACAATTTTTCTCGATCCAAAACTATCAACATTATTTAATTTAAATACGAATCAATATACAAATAAGCTGTATGCAGTATGCTACAGCTACAAGCTAGAACCCTGTTCCACGAATAAGTAGCAACGATTGTGCCAATTTTGGCCCACAGTCTCACTTTTACAGTAACACTAACAAATGTTATGCTCACACAGTCTAACTTTAACAGTTTTACTAACAATTGATATACTCAACTCATTGATCTCTTTATAAGTGTTTACAATATACCTCAACGCTGTGTTTAAAGTGCAACAATATATTGTCGAAGTACTGCATAACGTTCCATTTCAGATCCAAGAGTTTGGGGATTCACAGTTACATGGGAGTTCAAGGCGAACTGCTCCAGGAGAGATGCTAGAGTCTTCAACTTTGAGCGGAAACCTGTGTGTAGAGAGAGTAAGTGATTTTATCTTTATCTCCAGTTGGAAACTTCAAACACAATAAGACAACAAACGATAAGACACATTAAGACCAACATTAAGGCAACAATTAAGGGGCCCTAACCAACCCCATTAAAGGCAAACATTAAGTACAACATTAAGGGCAACATTAAGACAACAATTACAGGCAACCAATAAGACACAATAAGGGACAAAATAAAGACAACAATAAGACAAACAAACACGATAGAACAAAATAGATAAAATATTAAGAACAACATTAAGACAACATTAAGATAATCATTAAAAATGTTTTTTTTTTTTTTTTTTAAATTTTTTTTTTTTTTTGTCTATTTTTAATGACACAAACTCAATTAGACAACATTAAGACAAACATTAAACAAACAAACGATTTAAGACAAACATAAGACAACAATAGCTCGTTTAAGACTACATTAATGCAACAAATGTTGAGAATATGTAATATACGGGCCGTGATTTCATTGCCGCAGTACAAGATTTTTGAAAATTATCTGTTAAGATACTTTGGACTGTAGTTAAAAGTCGGAAATTTAAATTTGATGCTTAATTGATTTAATGAATAATGGTTTTACAATATAATGATGATAAATAAATTTTGGATACTGAAATAAAACTGGTTTACAAGTATAGATAAACAAATATCTTAATAACGAGTTTTAGGCTTTGGGCGTTTTCTTGAGCATTATAGGCGTGTTAGGTCTCTATGTTTTCTGAGCAGATTCTTTTGCGCTGGGTATACGGTTTGGAGCGTCTTTACGTAGCTGCAGGAACGAGCTCTCAAGGATTGTCTGTCACGAGAGAGCTGCTTCTGCAATGCACCTTTTTTTCTGTAGACGTGCGATCGGACAAATGCCTCTGAGGGACCGGGGGTTCAATGTGATGCATGCCGTTAGATTAGCTTTGGAGAGCACACTGATTGGATTTCAAAATCAAAAGTATTTTGGTCGAATAAGATTTGTTATCATATGGCGAACCATGATGTTTTGCCGTTTGATAACACAATTCAATCATGAAAACATTGTAGAATAATGTCATTAATTCTCCCAATACTAGTACTACACACGAATACACGATAGCAAAGCAAGAAGGCAAACAAGGGAGAGTAGGAAGAGAAAAGAGAAGTAAATCACGCTAGAACATTCCAAACAAATATTATTAAGTGTTACACACAGACCCTCTCACACCGGTCCTCTGATGCGGTCACACTACATATTGGACTAATTTAATGTCGTTATGATCAGAGATGATGTAGTCACTAAAACAGGATGAGAATCAGGTGATCAGTGTTCTTAGTTGTGACCTAATCACTGATGCTGATAATTGATAAAAGTTGAGTTGAACCGTGATACCATAACATTGAAGCAGTGGAAAGTAAACCTGTTTATTTGATTTGTCGCTACATATCATTCGGTTATCTCTAAACACTGTCAAGTCTAAAAACAGAAGTGTCTCGCTGCTGTTGTGTGAATAATACAGAAATACGTAATAATTAAATCGTGAATTCATGTTACAGAGCTTCGATTTTTGAAATTATAACCTGATAACTGAACACAGTTTGGAATTTTTTCAAGATCAAATTTCCGATGATTCGCATTCCAGAAAGGGATTTAGATCAGGGATGACGCCCTACATTTACAATGATCGATAACATGATTCATTTTAGTAGGGAGTAATCAAGAGTAGGTACAGAACTGCGTAACTTCAGGGGTGTAACTGCATGCAGGGTGTTCCGTGTCACTTCAAGGTCCTTCTGCGTCACTTCAAGTTCCTTCTGCGTCACTTCAGGGGCGTTCACTGCAAGGGCGTTTCGCATTTCTAAAACACCCATTACACCAATA